TGATGTTCTGTCTTTCTTGTTCTTAGTTCACAGGAGTACATCCTTAAAACAACTATCTAAATGATGGTAAACAGAATGTAAACATTCTAGGGCTATGCATGTCTAAAAATTCTATCTTCATAAATTACCTTCATAATTAATCCTTTGACTTAGTAAATAATTCTGCCATAGCCATCTGAGTGAGCTTGGAAGTAGATTTCGTCCCCAGAAGATGACTACAACATCTACTAATACCTTAGCCCCAGAGCCAGAGGACCCAGCTATGGCAGGCCCATATTCCTGACTTACAGAAAACGTTAGCTAAATCTTAACAATAATAAATGTTGTTTTAGGCTGTAAAACAAACAAAAAATTCAAGTCAAGAAAAAACACATTAATGCCCTGACCGGTTTGGCTCAGCCCCAGGTTTGATTTCAGTGGGGGGCGTGCAAGAGGCAGCTGATTGATGTTTCTCTCTCATTGATATTTCTAACTCTCTATCCCTCTCCTTCCCTCTCTGTAAAAAATCAATAAACTATATATATTTTTTAAAGAGAAAAAAACACACATATTAAACCCAACAAAAATAGGAAGGAAATAATAAAGAGTGAAACTGATTACTAAATAGAAGAATCAACCAATACAGAAGTAAAACCAAAAGTTGGCTTTTAAAGAGATCAGTAATATTTAAAAGCCTCTAGCTAGAACCAATGGGTGGTGGGAGGCAGGGAACTATACACATTACCAATATCAGGACTAAAAATATAGAATCATTCCAGATCAAAGGGAAATTAAAAATAAAGAAATATTGTGAACAACTTTATGTCCATAACAACTTAGCTAAAATATACAAATTTTGAAAGGTCCAAATTCAACATCCATTCATGATACCCAAAAATAGCAAATGAGATATAGAAAAGAATTATCTGAACCTGAAAAAAAGGCATCTAAGAAAAATGTACAACTAACAAAGACTACTTTCCCTTCAAAGCAGGAATGAGATTAAGAATGTTATCATCTCTATCAGCATTATACTGGAGGTCCTAAATAGTACATTAAGGCAAGAAATAAAATATCTCATTCAGATTGATAAGGAAGAAGTAAAATAATATTCATAGATGCATGATCATATACATAAAAATTCTAAAGAATTAAGAAAACTAATAACATAGCTATATCGTAAGTTACAAAGTCAATATGCAATGTATTGTACATATTGACAATGAAATACCAATTACATAGCAGAGAAAAATGGGGTACATTTTGGTGTGCCCACTTGCTCATACTTGATATTGCCAGTCTTACCAAGGTGAACTTTGGATGGTGGGCACAGAGTGCAATATACAGATCTTGTATTGAGATGTAAACTTGAAACATATATGATCCTATTAACCAATGTCACCCCAATAAATTTTAAATTTATTTAAAGCATATTATTCAAATTTCAGGAACCCAAAAACAAGGAGAAAAGTCTTGAGGGAGAAAAATCACCATATCTATAGAGGAATACAGGTAAGAATTATACATGTTTCTCTCTCATCATAAATCATACAAGCAGGAAGAAAGTGGAGTGAAATATTTAAAGTTAATTTTAAGGGAGAAAAAAACACACAAAAAACCCCACCAATCTAGAATCTATAATATATAAAAAGTATCCTTCAAACAAAAACAGATCCAGAGACAGGGAAGCATGATCAGACTGTCAAACCTCAGAGGAAAGGTAGGAAAGGGTGAGGATAAGGGGGAGAGATCAACCAAAGGACTTGTATGCATGCATATAAGCCTAACTAGTGGGCAAAGACATCAAGAAGTGAAGGCATAAGGTGGGGGGAGGGTGATTGGGAAGGCAATGGGGGGATGAGGACAAATATGTAATATCTCAATCAATAAGGAAATTAAAATGAAAAAAAAGTAAAGGAGGAATAAAGACTTTCTCAGACAAAAACCAAGGGAATTTATTGTCAGTAGATTCTGCAAGACACATTTTAAAAAATTCTTTGGAGAAAAGCAAAATTATATAAATCAAAAACTTGGACCTACATAAGGAAAAAAAGACTGTTGAATAAGAAATAAATGAAGGTAAAATAAATTATTTTACACTTATTCCTAAATGATCTAAAAGATAACTTCATTTAATGCAATAATATTAAACAATATATTGGGTGATTATTGCATATGATTAAGTGAAATGATGAATAACAATGTCATAAAGGACAATAAGAAGACATTGGTTATGCTCTAAAGTGTATTGTACCTACACTACACACAAAGCAATATAGTGTTATTTCTTGAAAATGGACTTAAATGAGTAGTAAATGTATATTGCAAGCACTAAAATGTAAAGGACCACCACTAAACAATGTTCAAAGGAAGTATAATTAATATGCTAAGAGAGGATAAAAAAAAATCATACAAAATACTCAATAAAAACCAGAAGGCAAAAAAATAATAGGAGGAAGAAAATAAAAACAGTTATGTAAAAAAGGTAAATATTAATCCAATTAAATTAATCATACCCTGAAGCGTGGTCTACAAATACCAACTAAAAGAGATTGTCAGAGTGGCTTAAAAAAGATGTACCTATATGTTATCTATAAGAAACCTACTTGAAAAAAAATAGGCAAAAGACTTAACATTCACAGAAAAGTGGTAAGTGAATGGCTAATGATCATATGAAAGGGTTCAAGCACGAAAGGTCAACGCAAATTCGAGTTAAACCCATTAGAATGGCTAATGTAAAAGCCTGGCAATATCAAGTATGAGCAAGGATCCCAAACTCTTGACCCCTATGAAGCAACATATGGAATCCACTCTTGGCATTAGCTAAAACTATTTGTTTAGCCATTATATTCAGACAGCAAATAGAGGAAGATAAATAAGCAGCATTTTAAAAGACTTATTTAAATTCACTAATTTTGGTTTATATCCTATGTAATGAAAGGCTAATATGCAGATTGGTCAGAACAACTGGTCGCTATGACACGCACTTACCACCAGGGGGCAGGTGCTCAATGCAGGAGTTGCCCCCTGGTGGTCAGTGCGCTCCCACAGGGAGAGCCACGCTCAGCCAGAAGCCCTGAGCTGGGCTCACAGCAGGCAAGGGCAGGGGCAGTGGTGGGCCTCATGGTAGTCGGGTACTCCCAGAGGGCTCCTGAATTGCAAAAAGGCACAGGCTGGGCTGAGGGACTCCTAACCTCAGTGCACTAATTTCATGCACTAGTAATCTAGATAAAATATGAGTCTTACTGGCCTATTACTTGGTAACTAAACTTTCTTAGATGGGAACCAAGGAAATAGAATATCTTATGAGAAATCTCTCTCTATATGAAATCTTTTTTATTCAAAGCACCATGCCTTAAACACAAATTTTCTGAATCTATTTTATAGTATTTAATGCTATAAAAGTATGGACTGCCTAGTGAATCAACTAATCAACTTATCTTTTCTTCAGAGTAGGATCTGATCTTTGTTTTTAAAGTGCTTGCTGCAAAAAAAGGTAGTCAGAAATCTAAATCATGTATTCAAATCCAGTTCCTGTGCCTAACATTCAAATTTTTCTTTTAGTTATCATCAAAATATATTTTTCTCCACAAGAAAATAGGCATGACAATCCTTCAAGCATAATTTCTCAATCCAAAATGATTAAGTTTTTAAAATGCCTCGTGTATTCATTTTTTACCAAATTCTAGAATCGTTACGTTACATTTCTGTTAAGACCAAAACAACATTGGTCTTTAAATATTCCTTCCTGCAATTTCTAATCTCTATCATCCCCAAATGAGAAAATGACTTAAGTATATCAGAAAGAAAAAAAATCTCACCAAAGAGCTCCTCCATTTATTTTCAAGTTATAAAATATGTTCAAAATTTGCCAAAGCAAATAACTCCATCAACTTTGAAAGATAATATAAGCAATAGTTCCCAATTATGTAATCTTTGACATTGTATTGTTAATCTCAAATGCTATATGCTGTACTAATGCTTATTTTTTAAGGTTTTAAGAATATAAACACTACTAACAGACCCAATAAATGCCAATGGGAGTGTGGAAACTGCTAGTGAGATGACAGATAAAAAGTATTGTAACAATGTTATCTAAAATACATATAATAAAACCATGAATTATTTCTTTCTATTTTCTACACTGATCTGAACTGTAAGTGGCTTCTAGAACCAAGTTCTCTACTCAACTATACCAAACACCAAACTGCTAAAGGGAACCTTAAAATGCCCATTTATACTGTAAAAGCCTCGTGTTGTTGAACACTGCTTATTTGATTTATTCTATAGAATCAAATAAATAAGAAGACTTTAATAAAACTAAAATGACTTATAACTTAGAAGTGTTACTGTGAAATATTAATTATCCAGCTCTCATGCCCTTCACCTTTAAGACAGAATCCTCAATCCTCATTATTGGCAGCTAGATATAATGGGGGGGGGGGGGGAGAGTCAGGAGGACATGGGTTTAAACTCTGGTGCCTTGAATACAAATTTTCTGAATCTACTTTTTCATCTCTAAAATGGGAATATTATTACCTACCTTGAAGAACTGTTATAATAATTAATGAAAATACATGTAAAGCAGCTGGTACATAGTATAAACTGAAGAAACTTCAGCTGCTGTTATAATTGTATTACTTATAAGCATACCCAAGAGAAGATATAAAAAACAAAACAAAACACATGATAGCAACATAAATCTGAACCTAGGTTACATTTAACTGCTAAAACAAAACAAAATACACAACCACTATGATGGTTCAAGTGAAACTTTGGGCTAAACTTTTTGTTCACATTTTAGATACACAAGATAATATTGTGGCCTCTCTTAATAAATATATAAAATCCAAAAATAACTATAAGAGCACTTAGTATGGAGCTACGTCAAAATAAGAGATTGTTATCATACAGTAAAACATATCATTTTATGAATAGGTGAGATGATTTCACCATTGGAAAAAAGAATGCCAAAACTAAAATTTAAAAATGCTTATTAAAGGATAGTAAAAGATTCCTACCTTTAAACCGACTGCTATAAGATCTGTAACAACACTGTATGGAAAAAGTAAAAGAGAAAATGGAAAACAAAGTTAGAGAACAAGTTTTTAAAAGACAGATAATAAGATTAAAGAAAAAAAAAAAAGAAAAGGCATTATAATAAAAATAACAAAAATAAGAATGCATGAGTTGTGAAATGTTAATACAAAGAAAAGTGATGGGACAGCCTAGCAAAAGCATGACGTAAAAGCAAAGCTTCAATAGAAGTGTGAGAAACAACTAATAAATCAAATTCCCTTTTAGTACTTAGGAGAGTATAGTTGTGCTTTAATAAAATGATTATGTTTATCCATTTACCTCTTTTTAATAAATCCAAACCAAAACTTAAAATCACCAAAATTCATTCTCTTAAATCACTGGTATAAATGACCAGTCTAAATTTTAAATGAAACAAAACCAGTGAGTGGACTTACAGAAATAGCTATTTAGCAAATTTGCATATACCACCCAAAGAGCTCATCAAAATTCAGCTAAGATAGTCTCTCAGAACACATCAAATTTCAGATATCAAACTTTTCAAAGACTGGCTTTTAAATAAAATCTACAACATCAAATCTGTGTTGGAGGATCACTTTGTAAATTACATAATTGTCTAACCACTATGATAAACATCTGAGACAAATATAAAATTTTAAGAATAGTAACAGTTAATTTAACTTAAAATAAACTGTATATTTAAATAAAAGTTAACTAGGAAAAACTTTAAATATAAATTACCTCAAGAGGAAAGTAACACACACGTAGACACACACATACACACACACACACACACACACACACACACACACACAGACAGTGGGATTTGAGGAGGAACTAGAAAGATGTTGACTGGTGGTTTGTTGTTTTCTAACTATTCAAAATAATGAAAAAGGATCTTTTTCAGGCTGTGGGAAGATGTAGAAATTTAATTACCCTCCTGAAAGCCAAAATTCACTGTGTCAAAACCACATTCCTTAACACCAAGGTGTAAAAACCCCTATAAAGTTCTGCTGAACAAAAATCTATCTCTTCTAACTCCAAAGAAACTGTCTTCACTTAAGTTTGTCTACATATCTCTTAAAAGTAAACTGTAAGTTCTATATATTGTTAATAACCCATAATATCATTACATAATAAAAGTAAATAAATTTATGGCTCTGGACTGTTTAATGATGCAAATTTAATTGTTTTAAACAATAACCATGTAGACTTATTTTTCCTTATAGACTTTTGAAACTTGAAATTCATTTGTCTAAATTTTAAATGTGATAAATAATTGATGTTTGTGCATAAAAAAGAGACTATGTAATATACTGTGGTATTGGTTACCAAGTAAATGAACTTACCTTTCAGTACCTTATTGCCCTTATTTAAATCATTAAACTCATTCTTAGCTCTAAAAATCACATATAGAGTGGACAGAACTTAAAACACTGTCCAAAATAGTAAGCTTGCACGTCATGTTGTCCAAGAATTTAATAGCCAAAATGCATAACCCAACAGTCCTCTATATTATTCTCTATTTTAAATTTTCCAATACAGAAAGCTAACCTACTTTCATATCTCAAGTCAAACCGCTTTACAATTCACTATACATAATGAAACACTAACTTCATAGCCTTCACAACTGAAACCAGTGGCATCATTACACAAAATAGCAAATTGTTGCACACATACGAAGTGTAAATTGAGTGAGGTGATGCGAAATGAATTTTCAACAAATCTCCCAGAGAAGCTCCAATTAAACAATAAAGTTAATCAATTAGATAAAAAAAATACTTGAAAGAACACCCAACCATAAGTGAAATGTAAAACTGAACTTTGTCTAATGTCTGTGGCAGTGCACAATATGCATTCAAATGAGTTAACCCACTATATCATTTAGTAGACTTCATATTACGAAACTAGGATAAATGAGATCTAATGAAGGTAAAAACTGTCCTAAGATCCCACCGTCTTTACACAGCATTGACAATCATCGACTATATGGCAACATGTACAGGCTTTTACTGTTTCAAACTATGTTTCAAAATATGTTTCCACATATTCTACAACCGAAGGGTTTACAGACATCGTATCCTCAAAAGCACCCAAGAGTTCTAACAAAGCTTCGAATGCCTAAATAAGTGATCTGCAGGTGCTAACCGAGCTGGAAAATTTTTAAAAGTGCTTCATGCACATATACTACAACCTTCAATTCACGAAGATCCTCATCCAGCTGTTTCCTTTTAGACATTAAAATATCTGTCAGGTTCCCACCCCGTGTCACTGACTCCCCCAGAGGACTATTGATGTCGGCAATTCTGTATCTTTTTTTACTTCGATCGCAGACCTCGCTCACTCCGCGTTTGAAGGCTCCCCGGAAATTGCACTTATACAATGATTTTGCATACATGGCAGGGAATTCACCAAGTTTCTCGGGGGAAGGTGGGGGGGAGGGGGGAGGCGTCCCCGGTTCTCCAAACGCCCGGTAGACAGCGATCAATGAACACACACGGCTCCCAGCCAGCCGTCGGGGGCCGCGGCCGGGTCCCCCCTCCCCCCGCACGCCGGGTCCCCCCCGCGCGCCGATCCCCGCGTGGGGCCCTGGCTCCGGGGCCGGGTCGCCGCCCAGACGTGTCCCGACGCGCGCCCTCGCCCGTCCGCCTCTCTCCCCGCGGCCGCTCGCCTCCCCGCCCGGGGAAGCAGCCCCGGCGCCCGCCCCGCCTCGCCGGTAAACAGCGACTCCCCGAGCGAGCGAGCGAGCGAGCGAGCGAGCGGGAGGGCGCCCGCCCCGAGCGCCGCCTCCCTCCGCCTCCCCCGGCGCCGCGCACCATTTTCAGAGAGGAAGTGTCGGGAGAGGCCGGGCAGGGCTCCCCGATCCCCGATCCCCGGTCCCCGGCCGGCGGCTCCCCCGGGGTTCCCTCCACTTCCCGGGGTGCGGGGCGGATGTCACCGGGGCGCCCCCGGGGGGAAGGCGAGGCTGGGGCGGACCGCCCCTCCGCAACCCCAGCTCCCCTAGGAGGCGCCCGGAAGCCCGGCCGTCCGTCGGGCTCGGCCGGCCGGGGCCGCTCCTCCGATCGCCGCCGCCGGTGCCGCACCCAGCTCCCCGGCCTCGGCGCGCCCGGACCCGGAGCCCAAAGGAAGCGGGACGAGCCCGCGCAGCCCCGCACGACCCTCCGCGCCGCGCCGCCCGGCACTTACCCATCCATGGCCCAGACGGGGGAGCGCACAGCGCGGAGACGGCCGGGCAGCTCACCGCGAGCGGAGCGGAGCGGAGGGAGGAAGCGGCAGCAGCAGGGCGGCTCCGGGGGGCCGGGTCAGCGGAGCCGGTCCACAGCCCGGCGATCGGAGGTGGAAGGAGAGTGGGAAACAGGGGCGGAAACCAGGGACGCTCCCGCCACCGCCGCGCCCCCGCCTTCCCCACCCCGCAAGCGCGTCCCCGCCTCGCCCTGCCCCGCCCCGCCCCGCCCCCTAGCGCTGACGCCCTCCCCCCCGCTGGCCACGCCCCCTGTCGGCCTGCATCCCGGCTCCAGGGCGCCCTCTGCCGGCGGGCTTGCGAAGACCCCGCCCCCCGTCCCCGGTCCCGGCGCGCGCGTGCGCCCCGCCCGCCTGCCCACCGTCTCCCTCCAGCGTCCGCGGGAGCGCGCGCCTTGTGCCTCCCGCTCACCGCCCCGCCCTCCCGCCGGCTGCTGCGCGTTCGGCCGCCTGGCTCGGCTGCCTCCCTCTACCGGCGGGGAAAACCTGGGAGCCCGACCTCGGAGAGAAGGGGAGAATGTCCCGCGAGAAGCTCCGAGCTGCGGTGTGATGGTCCCGGGTGGGCGAGGCTGTCTGTCGGTGGCTCGGCCCTGGCCGGGCGCGGAGGCCGGGCGCGGGCTGTGGTCCCCGGAGGGAGGCCCGGGCTCCCCGGGACCCCAGCGGGGCTCCAGCCGGTGCGGGACCCGCCGGTGTGCCCGCTGCCAGTCCACTGTGAGGACCCGCCCCGAGCCGCCAGGTGTGGCTGCGATGAAGGTGAATGAGTTTGAAGGGACCACCGAATTGGGGAACGTTTGGTTTTTGTGTGTGTGTGTGTTTTGTAGTTTTAGTCTCGGGGGGGCTTTTCGACCGCACCGTCTGAGATTTAATTTATCTAAGACTTTCATTGCACAATATGGAATGACCACCCCAATGCCAGCGTTTTATAAAAGTTTTCCTTTTTTTCTCCATGTAAAATAAAAAACCAACAAAAAATTGAGAGAGTGATTTCCGTTTTTAAGATAAAGGTTTAGACCCGAATACGGTGTTTTGCCCATATTCACAGCCACGAGAGCCTTTTCCTCTAGTTGGAGCAAAAGTATGTATCTCTATCATTTTATGTATATTATATGTAATTTTATGTAATATTGTTATATATGTAATTTTCCCTCTTTTATTCTATCTAGTTCTGAAATTGAATGATGTTTTCAAGTCACAGGTCACCAAAACTTTGCCCTGGACCAAATACCTAGCCTCCTAAGCAAAAAGAAGGGCTGCTCCCTCTACTTCCTCGTTTGAGAAGCAAGTGACAAGAAGCTCAAGTAACAGGTATGTTTTTATTTTTTTATTTATTCAAAAATTTAAAATTGATTTTAGAGAGAGAAGAAGGGTGATAGAAATACAGATTGAGCTATAAAGATGAGAGAGAAATGTCGCCCAGGTATGCTTTTAAATAAATGGGTGCTACTAAAAAGATTTAAGCTGTCTATTTACCCATCATTCAGCCAATGCTTATTGAGTATTTACTGTGTGTCAAGCACTGCAGGGTTACCCAGAAAATCAGGTTCCAGCCTTCATGGTTGAATGGATTCTGTGGTTCAGTTTATTTATTTACTTATTGGCCAAAAACAATTTTCAAATATCTCAGGTACCTTTAAAGTACTGTATCTGATCTCGGCCCCTCTTTCCAAAAGGGCAAATATATTTTGTTTTGTATGTTAAACCCAAATATTAAGTTGCAGTTTGTAAATTGCCAGATGGATATTAAAAATATCAGCAAGGTAAGTAGCTGATACAGTTTTGCTGTTGTTGTATGGGGGATAGATTCTGTGGATTACACAAAAAACATAATAAGAACCCTGGCTGCTGTGGCTCAGTTGTTTGAGCATCCTCCTGTACACAAAAATATCCCAGATTCCATTCAGGTCAGGGCACATGCCCAGGTCTCCGACTTCATCCCTGTAGGGGACAACTGAGTGATGTTTTTCTCTCACATCGATATTTCTCTCTCCCTTCTCCCTCTCTCTCTAAAGGCAATGAAAATATATTTAATCATATATAATAAAGAGATAATATGCAAATTGATCCTCACACCCTCACAAGATGGCTGCCTACAACCAGGACAGCAGGGGGGTTAGTGAGGGACAACCAAACGACTAAACAACCAGAGGAGTTAGTGAGGGATGACAAAATGACTGAACAAGCAGGTTGCATAGGGTGACCAGGCCAGCAGGGGAAGCAGTTGGGGGCGACCAGGTCAGCAGGAGAGCAAGTTGGGAGTGACCAGGCTGGCGGGTGTGTGTGTGTGTGTGTGTGTGTGTGTGTGTGTGTGTGTGTAGATGGGAGCTATTAGGCTGGAAGGGGGGTATAGGGAGGGGTGACTAGGCCGGCGGTGGGGGGGGGGGGGGGCAGGAGGGGCAGTTGGAGGCGACCAGGCCAGCAGAGGTGGTCTGTTGAAGGGCGACCAGGCCGGCCGGACGGTAGGAGGGGAGGGGGGACAGTAAAAGGTGACCAGGCCGGTGGGGGGGGGCAGTTAGGAGTGACCAGGCTGGCAGGGAGGGGACAGTTGGGGGTGACCTGGCTGATAGTGAGGGGCATTTAGGGGCAACCAAGCAGGCAGGCAGGTGAGCAATTAGGAGCCAGCAGTCCAGGATTATGAGAGGGGATGCAGGCTGGGCTGAGGGAACCCCGCTATCCCTTATCCCCCCCACCCCTCCCCCTGTGCACGAATCAGGCCTCTAGTATGTATATAATTATCCATTCTCATTTTGAAAAGTTCAAAGTATTAAATATTAAAAAATTTTAACTATTTTTCTTCACAGGCCACCCCTTGCCCATGATAACCATATAACAATTCTCTATTCATCATTCCAAACCTCACCATTTTCCATTTGCTCTTTTCACTTGATAATTTTGGAGATCTTTTTTTCACATCAGTATTTTTCATCCACTTCATTCTTTTTTTTTTTTTTTTTTAATATATTTTATTGATTTTACACAGGAATTGAGAGGGACAGAGAGTTACAAATGTTGATGAGAGAGAAACATCAACCAGCTGCCTCTTGCACCCCCCCACTGGGGATGTGCCTGCAACCAAGGTACATGCCCTTGACCGGAATCGAATCCGGGACCTTTCAGTCTGCAGGTCGACGCTCTATCCACTGAGCCAAACCCGCCCCAGCCCGCTTCATTCTTTTTTAATCTTGCATGGTATTTCATAGTTTCATCTACCACAATTTAACATTTTACAAAACAGTGGAAATTTTCATTGCTTCTAATTATTTAAAATAACTAACAATGTTGCAAAGAATATCATATATGTATGAATATCTTTGCATACATATGATTGTATTTGAAAAATAGATTCCTAGAAGTTGAATTGCAGAACAGAGTATAAGCATTTTCAAATATGATAAATATTGCCAAAATGATTCCCAAAAGGCTGTGTCAATTTATACTTTACTTAAAAAACAAAATTTGTCGTTCTCTTAGCTCTACTCCTTAAGATAGCTAACAAATTTCGATATTAAAAAAATAAATGTTGCCCTAGCTGGTTTGGCTCAGTGAATCAAGTGTCTACCCACTGACGGAAGGGTTCCATGTTCATTTCTTGTCAAGGACATATTTTGGTTGCAGGCTCAATCTCCAGCCTGCTTGAGGCATGAGGGGGAGACAATCAATTGATGTGCCGCACATTGATGTTTCTCTCTTTCTCTCTCCCTCCCCCCAACTCTCTTTAAGAATCAATGGGAAAATATCCTCGAATGAGGATTAACAAAAATAAAAATAAATAAATCCGAGTCTGTCTGAAATTCATTGTCCTTATTATTAACAATAACTCTGAAAAGTCTCCAATATAAAGACAATGTACCTGACTAAAATGAACAAAACTGTACGACATTTCCTAACCTACTTAGCATGTAGTTTTAACAATAGAAGGCTAGATACAAGAAAACAAAAAGGTGAAACCTTTCTCTCCCCTAATTCTTGGTCATAAATTCAAGACTTCTCATGGACTGAGCTCCTTAAGTTTGTGAGTCTATCTGATTCAAAAACAGGGGAAAAATGGAATTTAGGTCTTCTAAGATGACTTTTAGAATCCTGGCTATTCCCAGAATTCAGAAGGCATGGAAAAAACCATGTCCTCAGTCAAAGTTTCTGAGTTTCTGACTGATCAAATATCACTCACATGACCTGATGTGGCATGAAAGCTTTATGTTCTATATACTACTGGTTTCTTAATGGTGAGAAAGGTAGCATTCTGTATTGCTAACTGCTCTATACTTTTTAAATGTAAGACAGCCTGGCTGGTGGGTGTAGCTCAGCAGTTGAGCATGGATCCAGGAACCTAGAGGCCACTGGTTCAATTCCTGGTCAAGGCACATGCCCAGGTTTCGGGCTCCATTGACTCCCAGTATGGGGCGTGCAGGAGGCAGCCGATCAATGATTCTCATCATTGATATTTCTATCTCTCCCCCATTCCCTTCCTCTCTGAAATCAATAAAAACATTTTTTAAAAAAAAGAAACAGACAGTCATAATAATTTAGTTTATAAATTGTCTAACATGTTGCCTTCATTGTGTTTTTATTCTAATTTGTCTAAGAAATTCCTCTGAAACACCTTTATCTGATAAAAGACACCCCCCACATTTATAATGTTTGGACAAAATACAACCTTTGAACTTTTACCTTAAGGTATTCCAGTATGCAGTGGTAGTTAATATTTAATTAACATTACCCTATTTATATTTACAGTTAGGACTTCTTGAGACAAAAAAGCAATGTAAAAATATCAGTATAGGTCACTGTCTGCAGCCCATGCACTAAGAGTTGGATCCTTAGTATATGTTTATTGCTAAATCAAAGGTAGAATATATTCCCATTAGCTTTTCCTTTCTTCCTTTTTTTTTTTTTTTTTGTCGTCACCTGAGCCCATAGAATGTACATTTCCAGATTTATCTTTAGGCCATCTACTTCT